AAAAAAAAAGAATGTTCTCAGAGTTCACCAGAGCTACTTCGAAAAGATCTGGTGATCTACTTCTGAAAGACCAGCCACAGAAAACACATGGAGCGTGGGTCTGTTGTGACGTGGGCCACATGAGCAGACATCACCTCCAGGGCAGCTTGTCGTCGCCCATTGTTGTGGGAGAGTGCTTTGCAGCCAGTTATGATTCATCTTGACCCCAGGGGACAGAGTAGAATTGCCCCCGAGGGTTTTCCGGGTTGTAGTCCTTCCAGGAGGAAGCACATTATGAAGTGTTGCTGCAACGAAGCCTTTTGGTTAGTAATTGAAGATTGACCCCGTCTCCATCGGCACCTCTGCTTGCTCCGGGTGCTCCGGGTTTCTGTGGAGTTGGTGCTGATGCATAGCGACCTTGGAGGCCAAAGCAGAACTACCCTGCTGGGTAGGAGCTCCGTCAGTGCTGTTGGTAAGCATTGGATTGCTAACCACAAGGTCCTCAGTTCTAGCCCACCGACTTTGCTGAGGAAAAAAGATGAGGCTGTCTGGTCCAATAAAGACTGGCAGCTCACAGGGTCCCTATGAGTCAGAATCCACCACTTGCCTGTTAGTTTGTCATACTGTGGTAGCTTGTGTGGTGCGGGAAGCGGTGCCCCTAGTATTTTAAATACCAGCAGGCTCTCCAGAGTGAGCAGGCTGCAGCTGAGCTTCTAGATCAAGAGAAGACTATGAAAAAAATCCTCCTCTCTTTTCTGCTAGGCAAAGCGCTCTCTCCGGAGCTGCTCACTGTATGGTAGAGCCTGGTGCTCCCGCCGCGGCGCCGCCTGCACCAGTGCCACCTCTGCCCCTGTCCTGCTGCCTGTGTCCCCGCCACCTCGGGATCGACTGTGTGATAGGCCACAGTCTTCAATAAGAAACATACTACTTTCTGTGGTGTTCTTGGTCACACATTTAGGGAGTTTCTGAAGGGCAGTGGAGATTACTGCCAGGCACAGCACGACCTCTATGCAGACAAGGGAACTGTAGAAATTCATTACTGCTCCATCTAGAAGCCTCCTGTAAGAACGGATAGCGTGGACACAGAAGTGTCGAATGGAAGTCCATTCACAGAGCCATTGTCAAGAGCTGTGACCTGCATGGGGTAGACCTCGGTGCACTTTCTTTCTATTGCCTCCATGCTCCTGGGTGGGAGAATTGCTGCTGCTTGTAAGGTTCATTTCATTTCCCATCACTCTGAACATCGTACTGAGAGCACTGAGAATTTCAGTGGAGTATTTTGAAGTAGACTTCATCTTCTTTACATCATTTCTGTATTCACTTTTTAAAAGTTCTTTCACAGCCCCCTTGAGTGTTTTTTAATTAAATTAGCATGACTCGAATGAACCGGCCAGCTCCTGTGGAAGTCACATACAGGAACATGAGACTTCTCATTACACACAACCCAACCAGTGCGACCTTAAATACATTTATAGAGGAACTTAAGAAGTGTGGAGTTAGCACA